TATTGATTCCTTACGGATAACGGTCATTTGAATTTTTACCGACTTTTTCAGCAATTCAAAAACCCAGTAAAAAAATACTGACTCCTGTAAAAAAAATCTTAGTGTGTTCCCAGTAATGTTAATTTTGGTTGGGTAGATTCTTCACATTTTGGCGTCGTTCTAGTTTTGGGCTTTTTGCAGTATTTTATATTAGTAGATGAATTTACTCTATGTTGGACTGAGTGGGATTGGTGTGTGTCGGTAGTTTCTGTTAAAACCATATGACGCGGACTCTGTCTGTGAGGATCTCAATGCCCCATGTGATTTCAGTCTGCTGAATCACCCTCAAACTAAATTTCGGTCTTTTCCATAGATAAACCCGCTCTGAGGTTGTGTTTCTAGCCAGGAAAATCAAACCTTGGCGACTGGTCCTCTTCGGAGCTGGCGCTTAAGCCACTTAAATTGATCTTTATTTCTTGTATTGTGTGGTTTATATGTATAACTTATCAAGTGACACAGATGCGTCTTTTCAACTTTAGTTCCTTTAAAATTTCATATATTATTAATTACAGTTCCTAGTCCTATCAGACCTGATTTAAGAATGACCATAATTGGTGGGATTGTGCCACTCGTTCTAGAGACAGAGAGCGTATTAAGTGATCGAAGTTTCGCAGGTTGCGAAGCGTGCGTTACACTATGTCAAGGTTTTAGATCTCTTAATATCCTGTTGAAGATGCTCTTTACAATTGCCATTCAGCATCAGCAATCGGCATTCAATAGGTCATAGCTGCGAACAAGTTGAATTGGGTCGCTCTCGGCGAAAATCTAAATTTCTGATATTTTCTATTTTTCAGCCAGAATGACTTACTGATGTCAAATTAGGCCAAAACAATTGAAAATTATTGTGTTTTCTTCACAGCCTTTTCCAAGGATGCAAAAACATCTTGGATGCAAGCAACTTAAAAAAAAATATTGTACGATGTGCACAAAAAGTATGGCCCAAAATGTATAAGAAAATTCCAAAATCTAAAATCATAAAATTAGACGCCAAATATAAGAAAAGTATTTTATTTGTTTTTTTTTCTGAATTTAACATCTTAAAATGACGTGGTCCGATACATTCCTTACCTCACAATAATGTTAGATATTTTAAGATAGAAGCATACATTTTACTCAACCGTTACACAAATAAGATCTAGAATAGATCCGTTGAGAATTGATCAAAACCATTTTTTTTATTTCTCGAAAAACATTGGGAACAAACGTGTTTATTTAATTACCAAAACCACTATTGCTGCGGGATATGGCGTATCATGTTTTTACTTTCTAATAGGAAGATAATAAAAGTAAATTTATTTTTCTTCTCTTCAAGAGCAATAATGATTGAAAGAATATTACTACACAAAGCACATTGATGCTACTGAGCTCCTGCAATTAAAACATCTGTGCAAATAAAAGTCTGTTCAATATATCACTCACTTTGCCAAGAAATACATTCGTAATCACTCTTTCTGCTACGCTGCGGCAGTGAACGACTTTTCCTGCTTGTAGCAACATTTGCTTATTTTTAATTTTGGCGATGGGATTTTGCTATGCAAAGGTGCTCAAATTAACACAAGTTCAATTAATTTGACAATAACATGCGTCCATGTGCTGTATATGTTTAAAGTTAAAATTTTACATTTATGAAAAATTTAATGATAATTTCATTGGAAATAAGTGAACATATCTACATACTTTTCCTGTGACAAATATTCTACTCTAAAAATAACACACCCTCGTACGGGACCTCACCGATCCACTGCCCACAGATGCCGTTTTCTTGAATGGAAGTGTGCGCGAAATGCAACCACCCATGTGGATCTTTCATTCACGAGCGCGGAAAACTTGACTTCTTTAAAACGACCCAACGGAAGTGAATGAAACGTAGCAGAAATAAATTACCGCTATGACAGCAAACCGCCACCCACCGACCGTACCATCCGAATAAATAAACCGATCAACAGTAGTACCTAGTCCTCGTGCACCTGATCTCAATAAACGTGGCAGATGTATAGAAGTATATCCTGGCATAAATTTTCCGCTGCTTCCAAAATTAGCACTTCGATCGTTAATTTGTTTTGAAATTAGCGGATGTTTGCTCTAAATTTCAATTTCACGTATGTTTGCAAACTAGTGCAAAAATATAAACTTGTCCACGTCCGAGATTGAAAAAGGTTTTTCGTACAACTTTACAGAACAGAGACCGATGAAAAATACATAAAACTGTATTGTAATGCAAAATTAATTTGGATTACTGGAAACATCTCCCTATCTTCGTCTTTGACTCTGAGCAATTTGAATTTTGATCATAAATGCTGAATTCATTTTCATTAAACAGCTGCTGGCTCAAACCACTCAATGAATTGCTTCATCATCATCATCAGCGTTGCTCTGGTGCCAAATTATTCTGGCAGCGGCTTTTTAACAGCTATATTTCTTGACGTATTTATAATTGAATAAATTTAAATAGCAATTGAAAGTGTCACTTGATCGTAGACACAAAGTGCAATCCCCATAGAAGCGAGCACTGTATCATGCTCTTTCCGTTGGTTACATTAGCATCGTTTAGCATAAGGGAAATTTCCATGAGATTTATTCAATCATGCAATGTAGACAAAGAAAATTGCAGCCTTTTAGCATACTATTACGTTAAAAGATGCATTAAATCCCAAATTATTTCACCACTTATCCAACCCAGGAAAACCCAAAACACACTACCGTTGAACTGTGTGACATATGGTTCAACTTCGTGTCCATGTCTATTAATCATCCACAGTCACATAACATCAAAAGATGTCATAAACTCGCAACTAACTGTCTTCAAGGTCGTTGGTTGACTGCGGACTGTCTGACGGCGACGACGACGATGACGACTACTGACTGGTCAGTACAAGGCATATCGCGTGTAATCACGCACGGCGTGCGACGATCGTTCGGGTTATCGACTGTTCGTCGCGTCGTCGTCTGTTTGGTGTGTCATAATATAATTGCCACATTGCTCTAACCCGGAACCGCTTAAAATCCATCCAGCTTCGAGAAAATCTCAAGAGAATTAATTCATTTAAGCTCGGCGTAGAAGAGCACAGACTATAAAACTTAATACCACCGAAAGATGAAGCCTCTGGCCTATTATATGTAGTTCTTAGGAAACTCGAACCCAAGAATTTACACTTGACGAAACACAATGGAGCAAAAGGCACACAGGTGGGCATTCCCGGTGAGTTTTGTTACAGGTCAACAAAGAAACCACAATCGATAGCCACAGAAAAATACGGGTGGTTGCTGATGTGCCTATTAATCGTACTTGCTCTTTGTTCGGCTAGACAATTTCATGTCATAAATATTTTAATAAATTAAACGGACAACATAAATTTTGCAGCTGACTTGCCACCAAGCTGATTGTATTTCCATCCATGTCTGCAGACAACACCTCCTCTGAAATGGAACCTTCTCCGGAACGATCAATCACACACTGACAATGCGTTGGGACATATCCTGATTTACAATTTACACAACCGCAGTGCGCCAAGTGGTGGCACATTTGTGCAGATTTTAACACCCCGCGCTTATGGAGACAATTGCTTTATTGTTGTTTTTACACTTATAGGTATTAATAACTGTGCGCCTTGCACAACCTTCTAGTTTGTAAAGAAATTAATTAAATCTGCGCACGCAGACATGAAGCAGGTGGCATGCTCAACTGCAAGGAGAACTAAGGGTTTAATACAGACAGTGGACAAAACGAACACTTACCACGTTTTGCTGGGAATTTTTCAACATTTTGTGCAGCCAAATATTTGGGACGGTTGAACACAAATTGTTTGAAATATTATTTTCTGAAAATAATTATTTAGCACTCAGTATATCCAGCCAGGCGATGTAAGATTGTATTACAGATTTGCACGCATGGGATGAGTTGGTACCGTTATTGGGTGGGTGGTGCCGTCCACCCACCGGTGTTTCTCGGCTGTCCTTCAACTAACTACGTTGATGTATGCGGTTAGTGTCAACCATAAACTAGTTATCTACAGAAAATTAGCTCAATTGGTTAAAGGACAGCCGAGAAATAGCGATGGGGGGACGATACCACGCACTGAATAAATGGAGGGATTACTGTACTTTTCATGCAAATATGTAATAGAATCTTACATTACCCGGTTTTTACAATGCCGCATGAACAGATTATGTAATGTGGTCACCGGAAGGTTTTAAAAATAATTTTGTTATTTATATTTTAGCCTATTTTTTCAAATTAAGGTTGTTTTCTCAAAAGCATTGCGTCTAGACAATCATCTCGTGATGGTTTTACACACAAATATATTTGTTGTATGAAACTTATGCAGAAGATGTAGGAGAAATTTAATTTGCGTGTGAGTATAAGCGGTGATTTTTCACAGATTTCACATATCTTTTGATTGAAAATATTTAACCATATCCCCGTTTAGGTACATAAATGACGTAGCATATTATTCCCCATTTTAGAAACCCTACCCTTTCCCCCTCGCAGCGAATGTTGCAATACTTAATTCATTGAAACTGGCAACTTCTGAATAACTACCCTCCCCCTCAATTGCCACGACATTTATGCATGTCCTCTTAAGTCCAGAACAACATGTGAAAAGGGCATACAAGCTTTTTGTAAACAAACCTTCTTATGCCCTTTTCTCGCCACCCATATGACACCAACGCAAACCTTAAACATCACCGGGTAGGGGACACTTTCCCCTTCCCGATGATATTGCTTTTTTGCGTGGGCGACCCTCGGTTGGTGAGAAAAGGGCCTACAAAGGTTTGTTTACAAAAAGCTTGTATGCCCTTTTCACATGTTGTTCTGGAAGTGTAGTTGTCACCCTATTTACTACAAATGCCCAAATAACTTATACCATCTAGTTAGATAAGTGTTTCTTTTTAATTATAATCAATAATTTTTCAAAAATATATTGTATACTCATCCCAATTCATTCATTTCTTAATTCCAGATTTGATCGTGGCAGTAAACCTTAACGGTAAGTTTGCTATTATTATTTTTGCGGTTAATAAAACTGACAAAAAAGTGTCGGAGGGAGTCGAGGAAGTCATGATGAGTTCCCTTGATGTTTCCTATGTGGCAATTAATCGTATGCTAGGTGGCAATTAACCTGTTCCAACAACTTTTTCATCTTTTTTCCAAGCCAGCACCAGCCGCTGAGGATCAGCCCAGTCCGTGATCCGAAACTTGTGCATGACAGTTCCACTTATTTCAGGGCAGTACTAGAAACTTCAGGAGATTTGCGAGAAGAACAGGGAATATCTGAGAACCTCTGCACAGATAAATTTTAAAATAAATTGCAGGAGCTTTACAGAAGTTCTGATAAGCTCAAGGAGTTAACAAAAACTTCACCTTCAGAGAAGTCCAGGGAACTACAGAGGAGCTTTTAAGATGTTTAGGCAGTTTAATTAGTTTAAGGGATGTTCCGGGTATTTCTAGGAAGATCAGAGCAGTTCTTCTTCTTCTTGTTCGCATTTCAAGCTTATTGCTTAGCGCATATTAGCTTATTGCGTGCTCTCAACTTAGCGTTCTAAATGCACTTCCAGAGTTATTAATTGAGAGCTTTCGATGCCAATACCAATGCATGAATTTGTATATTGTGTGGCAAGCACAATGATACTCTATGCCCAGGGAAGTCGAGAAAATTTCCAACCCGAAAGATTCCCTCGACCGGACCGGGAATCGAATCCGCCGTCTCCGGCTTGATAATACCGTGCCTTTACTGACTAGGCTATGTGGCCCCTGGAAGCAATACACACTGTTCTGGATTCAAGGCTGCTGTTTATGGGCATCGCATACTTACTCTTTCCAGTTCTCCACGATCTCTGGAGTCGTTAGGTCCATATTAATTTCTTTTCTCTGTTTTATTCCTCTGTTTCTCTGCCATTGCTGTTCATTGATGCACCTCCTGCAACTACAGCAGCGTACTGCTCCCGCTGTGCTCTTTCTTCTGTTCTAGTTTTGGATTTTTTTTTTTGCAGGATTATCTGCTAGCATTCAGAATCATATGGCCCTAACTGCGATGATCGATTCTCTTCATCGATGTTATGTTTTGTTAATAACTCTGTTGTATTATCATTTCTCGGTGCGTTTGATGTTTTTCCTAACCTGTTACTAAGATAAGTTAAGTTTTCTTTATTAAGAAAGCTTTCATCAACAAACGTCGTCGATTATGTAATGTAATATTGAGCAAGGGGCTCGGTTGTCAAGGCCAACCATTTTTGCTTACTGAGTATTAAATCCTGGGTTTATCCCAGGCCCCTTTACATTACTGAATTTATAGGGTCGAATAATTTGCATTCCAGCCATTCCAAAGATCGCAAGTCGCGTAAATTCGAAAATCAACACATTATAGCAAAACTACGATCGTATCACTTATCAAGGTGAATCCTGATCCAACAAACCCAACATACTTACAAAATATCCCTCTTGCGACCTTTGTGATGACGCAGAGGCAAGCACGGCCCTCCCTTTTGATTGCAAGGTCGTAGCCGGTGCCTTTATTGATCTTTCAAATAAGGAGCCACTGAAACTTGTACAATTCGACAGGAAGGTCACTCCCAACCCCATTCAATTGATTAATTGAGCAATTCCACTGGTTTTGAACAATCACGGAGTAGCAACCATTTGATATGTCCAGTCATTATTATTTAGCTTTATTAAGGAGGCTTTCAGCCTTGGGCTGGTTCGCCTCCAAACATATGTCCAGTCAGTCTATCACATCTGTCCTGTCCTATCCTATCTGTCCTAAAGGCTGACTAAAAGTAAATTGGTACGCACAAAAAGACCTGTAATTCGTGATTCAATAAATTTAAAATTAATGGTTAAAACTTCAAAGTTACAGATGGAGACGGAATCAGCGCATTTCTTCCATTTTGCCCGCATTTGCTGGATGTCTTTGACTGCCCCGCCGTTTCGTCGAAGTAGCTGTTTTGAAATTGTCCAGTATTTTTCGATTGATCGAAATTCTGGGAAATTAGAAGGATTCATTAGCTTGGGGACAAAATCGATCTTGTTGGCAGCATTGCACTCCAAAACCACCTTGGAGTAGTGGCAGCTGGTCAAACCGGGCAAAAAGATGACTTTGCCCCTATGCTTGCGCATGAACGGCAATACACGCTTTGCAGGCATTATTCGAAAGTCGGGATATCATCGTCGAGGATGTGACGAATGGTTCCGTTTTCAGCTGCAAATCGCTTGAAAATCATGATCTTCTTCGCGAACTTGTTGGCAAACACTTGAATCTTCTCGGCACATCCCCACATCCAGTCGCGATGTAAAACCATAGAGGTAACTCTAAGACCAGAAGGTCCCGAAGAAACATGCTCAACTTTTTGGATCAGCTCTGGTACTATCTTCGGTCCCAAGCAAATCGATGCACCCCTCGACACATACGAAAATCCACGAACCTCTCATTTTATCTGTCAAACTTTCATAGCGAATCAAAACAAACATAGTGTAGTACTAGAATTTCGACTAGAATGGGGTACACTTATAGATGTACTTGGGACCAATAGGCTAGTCAAGTAGTGAGCCAATTTAAAATCGTTAGTTGCCACCGGTTAGTAAAACTTTTGGTCGGGAAGCTGCTTAAAATCGAGTTTGACATATGTTTCGTTATCGATCAAAGTACAGTCCTTGTGTTTAGTCCAAACACGGTCGTACAAGAGCCTCACAGCTAAAAAAAAAAGAGTGTAAATTTCCGTTACTATGATGCACATAAATGGAGCGTCATATATCATACAAGTTTAGATTAAAGAATGTGTAAATTTATGAGACATGTCATGCTATATTTCATATATTGTATGCAACTGTCCACTTTTGTTTGCAACATTTCTTGCAAGCTGCTAGTTTACGTGAAAACGAAGTTTACATGTATGAATGTTTGCATGCATAGATGTTTACATCGCCAGTAAAATTCAGATTTTTTTGGTGTGCTTGCACGCTTTTTGGCCACGGAATTCTGCTTCATGTGCCGGTTCCGATGTTTGCTGGCCTCATACGACTTGTATCCTTCCCTGGCAAGAATGTTCCACACCGTTTGAAAGTTGGCGTTCTACCTTCTGGCCACATCTTGGATTGAAAGACCAGGGTTGGCTTTAACGCACCTCAACACCTTGCTGCGGGTTCCAGTTTTTTCGTAGGTCCGCTGATTCCTTTCCACACTCAGGGTTTCCTTGTAGGTTTTGAACACTCGACAAACTGTTGCTTTCGGCATCTTCAGCACTTATGCCAGCTTGGAACCAGGCCACTCCGGATTTTCCAGGTGTTTGGGCACAATATTTTTTCTTCTTCCATTTGACTTATTTCTGAACGCGACCGACTGCTTTGATCAAACTTGCACCAGTTGTTCTCTATAGAAGTGTAAACAAACCACTGCCAAAAAATTTCGATTCCCAACACTAGAGGCGTGCTAGCGGCGCGTGAGGATCGTACCAATTTGTTCTTAGTCATCCTTTATATGTCCTGAAGAAGACCCAAAAAACTGTTGCAAGCGAGAAGCAGTTTTAGAAAAACTGGCGTTCTGCGGCGAACAAAGTGGACGAGGTGGCTGTACAGAATCTGATGGCAGGAGTTAAACGAAAGGCTCGGCAATTTACATTCAGTCACCGGAGGCTGAACATTGGTTTCTGTTTTATACTACACACTTAGAAAAATGTTAGGTGCTCTGAGAGTGACATACTATCTACGAGCGTCAATTTTGAAATAAATTTGAATCCAGACGCGAAATATAGCTTAATCAAACGTACTTTTCGTCGAGCAACGAACTTTTCAGTCTCGGAGCACTTAATATTACATAACATGATTGTTTATGTCTCATTTTGTATGTCAAAGATAGATTCCATCTCGTGTAAAATTAGTTATTTCTAAGTGTGTAGTTAAACATAAAAAGAAAAATTATTTGATTTTTTTTAATAAAATAAATTTTGATCGTAATACCCTTTAAGCTAAGGTTCCGGGACGGGGATGGCGTCATCATGGCCCAGGAAGTGCCAGACGACGGCGCAGGTGCTGAAAATCACCGACTTCTCCATCCTCAGCACCTGCGGGGAATCCATATTAGCTTCTTCAGCATGATTCCGGTTACCTAGTGTACCTTTGGGACCTCCACCAATCCACACAATTACTTTAGCTCCACGGCCAATGGCCGGTATTTAGCGATTTTGTGACCATGGATTTCTTCCAGGTTCAGTGGAACCGTAACTCTTCATTTGTTCCAAATTCAAATAAATTTACATTGATGTTTTATCCTAGGAGCTACTGCTACTACAGTAACTTTCCAACTTACTTGGTATTTTATATCTAGATGTGTTGACACTGTTGTTGCCTTGGCATTTCAGTATTTTAAACAGGTTTTGTATAACAATTGTTATAATTAAACTAAAAACTGTGTTATTCATTGTAGCTAAGAAGGGGGTAAAAGCACCGGTTGGAAACTAACGATTTCAAATTGGCTCACTACTTGACTAGCCTGTTGGTCCCAAGTAAATCGATTAACGTACCCCATTCTAGTCAAAATTCTACTACTACACGATGTTTGTTTTGATTCGCTATTAAAGTTTGACAGATAAAATGAGGGGTTCATGGATTTTCGTATGTTTCGAGGGGTGCATCGATTTGCTCGGGACCGACGATAGTACCAGAGCTGAGCCAAAAAGTTGAGCTCGTTTCTTTGAGACCTTCTGGTCTTAGAGTTACCTCTATGGTAAAAGGGTATCCCGTTACACTTTTGAATGAAGATGGTTGAAGTAAATGCAGTTGAGATTTAATAAAAGTAAAGCAACTTCCCGGGATCGAATATATGAGAACGTCTTTGTTGTAATTGATGATGAGACAATTGATCGCGTTCGGGCGTTTAAATATCTTGGGCCTTGGTGTGATTATTGAAGATAAATTTAAGTTCGACTCTCACATTGACTTATTGTCAATGACACATCATTTTGATAAATGATTTCTAGCGTAACTGCGATGATCGAT